TGATTCCCCTGAAGCTAGAAACAAAAGACTGAAAGAAAAATGCTTACACTTCTGGATGCTATTGCAATAATTCTAAAAGTATATGAGGAGAATTTATACTTTGGCGACTTCTTCATTAAGAGCTCTCTGGTGGCTTAAAATGCCAACTGGAAATAGCATTAAAATATATTTATTGAGGTGGGAAAAGTGCATTTTACTGTATTTTTATGAACAGTGTTTATTTCATAAGATTATTTTTACAATTGGCCACGCTCCTGAAATATATATTTGTTCCACTGAGTATAGTTGTGGCAAATGGAGTTTTTACATAATATTATGTTAAAAAAAAATCTTTCATTTGTTTTGGAATTTGTAAAAGAAAAAAAAGTAAAGTGTGATTTGGTAGACAATAAAATTACTTTTCTCTTAAATTCCATAATGGCTTTTTTGTTTTTAAGTTGTGGAGTGGGAATACTGTGAGTGGGCATTGTGAGGGTCCTCCTGCTAGTGTGAGTTAATTTGAAATATCTTTACCCTTTCCAGAGAAACTACATTGTAAGTTTCATTTTCTTTTTTTTTAATTGTCTCTCAGAAAGCTTCTTAAGGGCTTGTGAAATTAAGGTCTTCAGTTATGTGGGCTGTTGTTTGCTTTTTAGTAGTCTGCATGTGGGTGTAATCATTTCAAGGGTAGTATTGCAAGCAAGATTACTTTTCTGCCTTTGTATGTCTCCTTAAGATGCTAATACTTATTTTGGGAGTTAAGAAAAAGACTAAAGGATAGGTTGTCCCAAAATTTTGCTTGGAGTATCTTTTTTGAGAAATACTTTCCTGTGTTCTATTCTGGAAGCCTTGGCCCAGTGTAACTGTGTAGGCACAGCCGACTTCCATGCCTACCTCTGCTCAGCCTGGGCAGTGTTGCTGTAGAAAAGGGTGAGATTCCTGTCTAGAAAAGGAGCAGGTGTGCTCAGAGTGCTACAGAGACCCGTGGTGCTACACAGTGGGTTGAGTCATCATTGTTTTTCCCAGTTTAAAACCACAAAAAAAAAAAGCCCAGACAAATCACAAATGGTGGAATCTTGATAATAGATTGCATATACACATACATTCCGCTGTGGATTACAATGGATTACAGCTGAATGTAGGAGATTTCAATTAAGTAAGGTAAAAAAATAATATAAAAAAAAATGTAAAATTTCCTTTGTCCAGGAAACCCCAGCCCTTAAAGTTTTACTCAAGGAGTATCTATGGAAGATCCTTTGTCCATGTTCAGCTATCTCTAGTCTTTCCCTGTGAGGAGGAGTCAGACTACCAGTTAGGGTTGCTTGTGTGTCTTCTTGTGTCCAGGTTAGAGCTCCCGAAGGAACAAATATGGTGAGCCAAGCTAGGAGGATATGTTGGAATTTAGAGATACTTCCAGCTCAGGTCATTTGGTTTTAGGCTTTTCAGGTGCTGAGGAAGCACTGCCATCATGTGCAGTCAGGTTATTTTAACAGCAGAGGAATTGCTTGGAGTAGGTCTCCTTTGATATAGAACCAGTCCCCCAGATTTGGAGGTTTGTGGACCTCCAATGAACATCTGCAGTCAAGGTAGCCTCACTTGGGCTTGGCTTCCCAAATCCTGATCCAGTCTGCGTTCAGCATGGGGCTGGTTTCATTAGTGGAACAACCCACATGTCAGAAATGATAAAATATTCCCTCCCTAGTAAGAACTATTGGTAAGTATTCTGGGAAAGAATCCTTCTATTTTGAGCATCTAACCACATTTGCAGAAATAGGTCTCAGGTGTAAACTTTCTTAGCTCAGGCTGTGAGGTGTCTCTGTTTTTCTAGAGCTTCTTCAAAGAGCCTTAAAATTAATTGACTGAGCCTGCTCTTTTCCTGTAGAGCTTTAGGATATATGTAGGAGAGAGGCTGCTTGGCAAGAGGGGAACATTTAGGTACTTATAGTAGTGAAAACTACTTCATCCTTTTCTTTGTCCCTCAATTTTGCAGGAGTACTTGGAGAAGGATGGTGTATTCTTTGTTCTGTAATGAACTAAATCTCTCTTGTTGCAACAAACAACTGTGGAAATGCTCCTTAACGTTTTTCACAGAGCACTCAAGGTATGCTCAAGGAGAGAAATTGTATTGGACAAAGGAGGCACTCCCTGCTGCACCAGGTGTTCCTGTTCGGCCTAGTGAATCATACCCAGTCCCTGGGACTGTGCCTATTGCTGTGGGGCTAAGAACAGTCATGATTTGGGATTATGGGGATGCTTTTAGGAGGCAAAAATCACTATTCCCTAACGTTGGATAAGGTATTGATTCACCTGCCAGCAGGTTGTATGCCAAGGCTTTTGGAAGGAAACAGCTATATTTTCTTTATAAGTGTTCATTTTGTAAAAGCATATATGAATATAAGGGAATATATAAACAATAAATAGTAAAAAGAAAGGCTGTTGGTCACAGCAACTGTACAGTTAAATATAATGGAAGAAGGGATTTTCAAATAGCTTTTGAAGTTTTTACTGCAGAAGCATTTTACTGGGTCTCAGTTAGTTAGAGCATGGTGCTAAAAACACCAAGGTCGCAGGTTCAATCCCCGTATGGACCATTCACTTAAAGAGTTGGGCTGGATGATCCTTGTGGGACCCTTCCAACTCAATATTCTGTGATTCTGTGAACTATGCAGGAAAACACTGATTATTAAAGTCTTATGACATTGAAATACTCAGGGTTTGTGTGGCACTGTTTTGGTAGGGGGGGGATAGAGGGGTGGCTTCTTTGAGAAGCTGAGAAGCTTCCCCCATGTCCAACAGAGCCAGAGCCATCCGGCTCCAACACAGACCTGCCACTGGCCAAGGTCAAGTCCGTCAGCGACGGTGTTAGAACCTCTGGGATAGCTATTTGAGAAGGAGAAAAAGTTATTGCAGCAACAGCAGCTGGAAAGAGGAGTGAGAATATGTGAGAGGAATAACTCTGCAGACACCCAGATCAGTGGAGGAAGGGCAGGAGGTGTTCCAGGTACTGCAGCTGAGATTCCTGTGCAGTCCATGGTGAAGACCATGGTGCAACAGGCCATCCCACTGCAGTCCATGGAGGTCCCTGGTGGAGCGGAGATCCACCTGCAACTTGTGGAGAACACCATGCCAGAGCAGGTGGATGCTTGAAGGAGTCTGTGACCCCTTGCTGGACTGGGCTTCTGGCAGGACTTGTGAAGAGAAGAGCCCACACTGGAGCAGGTTTGCTGGCAGGACTTGTGACCGAGTGGGGGACCCACTCTGGAGCAGTTCATGAAGAACTACAGTCCATGGGAAGAGCTGTCTCCTATGGGAGGGACCCTACACTGGAACAAGTAAAGAGTGTGAGGAGTCCTTCTGCTGAGGAGGAAGGAGCATCAGAGACAATGTGATGAACTGACCACAGTCGCCATTCCCTGTCCCCCTTCACCTCTGGGGAGGAGAACGAGGTAGAGAATTCAGGAATAAAGTTGAGCTTGGAAAGAAGGGAGGGATGAGGGGAAGGTGTTTTAAGATTTGGTTTTATTTCTCATTATCCTACTCCAATTTGATTGATAATAAATTATTTGCCCCAAGTCAAGTCTGTTTTGCCCATGACAATAGTTGGTGAGTGATCTCTCCCTGCTCTTGTCCCTACCCAGAAGCCTGTCCAGCTGAGGAGAGGAGTGATAGAGCAGTTTTGTTGGGAATCTGGCATCCTGCCAGTGTTGTCAACCCACCATAAGCATACATTTAATCATGCAAAATGCTATTGTAGAAGTGAGATTATATCTGAAACTTTAAAAGTTGTGTATGATTGACTACATCTCTTTAAAAAAAATTGTGATGTCCTAACCTTTTGAGAATTCCTATGCATCTACTTACATTTTTTTCAGCACTCCCCTACTTCAGTTGTTTCTTGTGCATAGTTACCATAAAAAGTAGGTAATTAGATATTGCAGGCAGGGAAGAAACTAAGCTGTCTGGATAGTTCCATATATCTTACAGACTTTGTCAATCTATATATAGTGTTCACTCCTGACACAGGAACACTATATATAGTGTCCACTCTTCTAGCCATAGGTTTACATATCCCATCAGCTGATGGCTCTTCCATAACGTGATAATCCTCAGATTTTCCCATAGTCAATGGGAAAATAAAGTCCTGGTGGGTCCCATGTGCAGCAAAGACAGCATATGACCTCCTAAGCACCCTCCCTGCTCAAAATTTAATGATCCTTCTCCAGATAAGCTACTTCTCTGAAAGCCACCCTTCTCCCTGGAGCAGCTGAGGCTGCATCATGCGCTCTGCTGCAAAAGCCTTTTCCTGGTAGTCAGAGTGCTTCCACTGAGAGTATATCCACAACCTTGAAATGTAAAGTGTATGTTTTCAGTTTGTCTCCTGTTGGTATTTTATGAGAGGACAGTTGTTCTCAAAAATGCTCTGGGATGGTTCCCAGACATGCTTTAGTCTTTCCCTGCTGCCCAGAGCAGTGAGCTCCTAGCAGAGGTGGCCATCACATGTACCAGTGCTGATACACAGTTGATAGATCAGCATTGTCTGCAGTCAGCTGCCCTTTATTAGTGATACGTGATGTGTTGTTACCTGCTGTTATGCTACAAAAGGAGTTTGATCTCCTGTGCAATAATATTTTATCAAGGGAATTTGATACCAGGTTTGAGGAGGCTTTATAGCCTGGGAGGTTCAGCAGAGTGGTCGGTGTCTGGATGTACTGAAAACATAGCAGACATTTTTTTCAAGTACAGATAGAGATGTGGAGTTCATATTGCTGGAAATAATTTAGTGTTCTCTGCTGCTGCAGACTGGAAAGGGAATGGTGATGGTCACTGGCACAGAACAAGGGCAGGTCTGTGTAATGGAGCTGTGGCATCCTGGTCTCAATGGCTCTAGTATGGCTTAGATACACTCAATGGCTTGCCTGAAATTAATGTCTGGGACATTCACTGACTTCAGATATCATGTTCCTTTAAAATTATTAGAGGGGGGGAAAAAGTTTTCATGAATAAGTTATTGCAAAACCAGGTTGACCCATTCAAGCATGCAGATGTTTTATTTAAGTATTCCTCAAATGTCTATTTATTCAGCATAACACGTGTATTATGCTGCCTTCTGAAATACGATATATGACTGTCAAACAAAATTGTCAAAACAACAACCTCAGTTTCTTTGTATGATACACAGAAATAATTACATTTCATGTACAGTACAGATGCATTTTACACAGTCATCAACAGTCATTCACTACCAAAACAGTATTTAAATCACCTAAAACACCAAAAAAAAAGTGTATTTCCGAAATTCAGAATAAATTAATGGCTTTGCATGTGACATATGGAAATAGGAGACAGGACTGGAATTCTGCAAAATCTTACTAAATTATCTCTTAAGCTGCGTTTTAAAAATGAAAGTACATGTTGCTTCAGGGGTATAACTGTTATGCAAGTGTATTGCTGTAGTGTGTTCTTTCTAGTGCCTATGAAAAGGAGAATAAAGAGCTTTTAAAAGACACATGACCTGATGGAGTCAGTAGGTTTCCTGGGTTGTATCTAGACTGTACCAAAGTAGGTTTAGTAACTGCCTTTTTGCATTATTTAGCTGATATAGCTAGTCATGAAGTACCATGTGGCATAAAGAAGTTTTTGCAGATTGCTAACATCAAGGCAGTTTTTATATCAATAACTGTTTGGCAAAAGGTGGGGACCAAGTATGAGTAACCATGGGTAGAAGTAGGATGCAAGTAAAAACTGAATGTGTTCTGCCTCTCCTTTAAACCCCACTAAAGTTTATGTAACGTACCAGCTTCAGCAGACCTACTGCAGTTTTCTAATGGGGTGGAAGAGAGGAGAGCAATGCCAGATAATGAACTCGGGCAGGGTTCCTCAGGAGTGCTCCTCCTCTGGCTCAGAGGACAGCCTGTGCTTTTGTTCTCTGCTAAAGTTTGAAAGAAATATAGAAGCTCAGTTTACAATAAGTAAGTTACTCTGATTTGCAAAAATAGTGAGAAGGTAACTGCAAATTAACCAAGCTTCAAAATAAGTAAATGATAAAAGAGTAATGAATGGCATTATCTACTCTTTTTACTTGCAGTTTAATTCTAATATGTGACATTGTTGTATTTTGGTGTATATACTGTAGCATGATAGTCCATCATCTACTCTTCAATGTCTGAAAGACCAGCATTTGTGTGCAATAAAAAGTGTATCATCAGCAAGTTTCAGTTTTTAGTGGGTATTTTCTCTTAATGTAAATTTTCAGGTCAGTAGAATGCTAGCAAATACTATACTGAAACATACACTACTCAAACTATTAAATAACTGTGTTAATCATTTATTGTAATGGCATCTAATGCACTGAGCCTTTTGATTTATATGCATATTTTACTTTGCAGACATGCAATTATTTCTGATCCAGTGTTTTTGATGTATATATGTATGTATTGATATGCACATATTCCATGTATATTTGATGTATATGATGTATGGTATGTCATGAATATAAGAAGCATTATGACACATCTAACATACTCTCATGAAGAAAAATTATGCTTTTTTATCAGAAGGGTTTCTGATAATATCATTGTCTTTTAAAAATGAAGCCAAAAAGCCTTAACTCGTAAAGCCTTCATATTAGCTTTTAGGCCTGTCCATGTAGGCAAATTCCAATTGAAATAAATTATACTTTTATAGCTTTGAGACTCAATCAATTATTCTATCATTGTTCTTAGGTAATTAAATGTTTTTCACACAATATAAATTCTCAAACAAGTTTTAAGATGTAAGTTTACAGATAATTACAAAAAGAATTTAGCCATCATTTTTACTGAATGTCTTTCAGTGTCTTCCAGTGTAGCTAGTACTCTGGATGCTGCAGAATATGAGCAAGGAAGGTTTGGAGATAATTGTTAGCTGATCCCAAAAACACCTTTGTGGTAATTTTAATTTAAATAGGATTGATCCTGTGGCAGTACACTGAGACGAGAGGTTTGTTCTGAAAATACAGAAGTAGACAAGATGTCTGTGGAAGAAAGGACTGTGTTGATTTCATCAGTAGCCCTGAAATCCCAAATGGTACGGTGATGTTGGAGGGGGCAACAAACTGTCATAGAAATAAAGAATAGTGGACAAAAAGAACAATGACTGAACAGCACATTTGTGGTGCACAGTTTGGCTGTAAGATTATGTAAATGTTTGCCATTAGAAATTTTTAGTGTAGATGAAGTTGTGTAAAATACCTTAAAAACAAATCCTGATTCCTGATACAACAGGTGTACAATGACTTATTGCAGTTGTAACAGTACCTAGGAAGCAAGATAAAACAATAGTAAATATTGAACTAACTGAACACCTTTAGTTCACTAATGAGTGTTTGAGTAAGAAATACTGCATTTTTCAAAAGGGAAGTTATTTGTACAACTACCATGGAACATTAACAATCAGCTTGTTGTAAGTGCACGGAAATGCCCCTTTCTACAGTAATATTTTATCATGCCTAATCTGAAAAACAACAAAAGTAAACTGAGATCACAGCTCCAAATAATTTCAGCATGCATTATGGTTGTAGTTCTTTCAGTCAGTACAAACATATTTCATATGAGCATTTTTTCGTTCATTTTTTTACAGTTCCTCAACAAGTTTGTGGTTTATTCACAGGGAAAAAAAAAGACAGGTTATCAAAATGTTTTTCCTTGTTTTGCATTCAGCAGGAACACAGGTTTCTATTTTTTCGTTTGTGTTTTTTTCTAAAAAGAGCTTTCATGATAAGAAGAAGCATCAATGGGGACATTTCATTGTGCTCATATAATAAGTCAGGATGGTCACAGAAGATTCCACCACACATCAGTTCGGACAAGGGGTAAGAAACTCCTTTTGGTTCACACCCTATGACACCAACACCCACAAAGTGTTTTGTTTCTCCCGAACCTCTTGCTCTGTGTCCGCTGGCACACTCGTCAAGGGGTATTTTCTTTGTCAGCTCTCTCATTCCTCACGACTCGTTTTTCATTGCTTGAGCTCAGCTTGCAAGTGGTCTTTATGATAATTTATAAATAATTCCTTATTTTATAAAGCAGATACTCTGACAATGTTTCCTCCTGAATACTCAGGAGAGTCTGGCCTATCATCTCCTTCAGGTGTGGTGACCGGAGGTGTCGGGATGCTGATTATTGCTGTAGTGACATAAGGCTGCTCACAGTTTAGTTTAACACACTCTTCCACTTTGGCGTTTAAGCTGGAACGGCTGGAGGAAGAAACAAAAATCCAAGCAAATAGAAAGTCCATGTTACCACAAAACTCTTGTGTACCCAATTCCACTCCCTCACCCGGCCATCTCCATCCTGTCCCATTGGAGAGCTCTAAGTGCAGAACAGCATTACCCCAATACCCTGCACCCCAGCAGCAGGTGGTCCATGCCTATGTCCATGTCCCTTTGTCCCTTCCTTTCCACCATTTTTCAGCACTTCTCAGCCTAAGTGTTTCTGAACAGGGGAAGCATTTGAGCAAACTTAGCATAGCCAAGTTACTTGCTATGCAGGAAAGTGGAAACTAAGGGCCAGTGCCAGTCTCCTGAATATTCCTCAATGCCATGCTTATTTAAGAACATTGTGTGTTTTAAGAACATTTAGATATTAGGAAAAATTTCTTCACTAAAATGGTTGTCAGACATTGGAACAGACTGCTAAGGGAAATGGTGGAATCACCACCTTCAAAAGGTGTGTGGATGTGGCACTTGGATATGTGGTTTAGTGGTAAACGTGATAGCACTGGGTTAATGGTTGGACTCAAAGATCTTGGAGGTCTTTTCCAACCTTAGTGATTCTATGATTCTATGTATATTCTGTGTCATCAGTAGTAATATTGCATTATATGCACTACTTAAGGTTGAGTTAATATGTTCATGGTGTTGTTGCGGTATTTCTGCATCATAAGAAACTTGTAAAACTCAGACTGTTTCAAGGTGAGACCAACATTTTATGCTTGTGTTTTTAGTTTGTTTTCTAGCACAAAGCTGGTGCTTTGTGTTTTTGCATAGTTGGTGTCTGGAAATATGGTGCAGGCAAGTCCTCTAGCAGAGAAAGGATGGATCCAGGCAAAATATTTCCTGAAAAGCTAAGACAGGTTGGAGCTTTGTGCTGGCCAGGAAGTCTCATTGCACAACAGCTGAAAAACTTCAGTAGCTACAAGCTGCTGGATTGTTCATGGAAATGAAATCCAAACCTAATAACTACACAAAGGAAGCTACTCAAAAGTAGCTTAACAAGACAATCTCTATAGCAACTAGTACTAAAAATGCCTTCTTATTGAAGGGTAGCATGTATGACTTCAGTAGAAAATACTTCTGGGTCTCCTGAGACCTTTGCTGTGTTTTCAGAGGTGGTATTCAGATAAAGCCAGATGCTTTACTTGTGAGAGTAGGGGGACATTCAGTAAACTACAGACTCTTAAACTGCATTTTCCTCACTTTTGTAATAACTCCTCAGACTAGAAAATACATTTTCTTATCCATTTCATAGTTTTTTCATTTAGAAGAGTCTTCCTTATGACTATTACACTTAAGACTCTGGAAATCAGTTTTATTTCTCTGCTCTGCAGAAATGTGAGGAAGTCTTATTTCCTATGCTTCTGAACCGAGCATGGACAGACAGACCATTTGCTCATCTCATATATTAGAATTGCACGTTTTTCTTTGCAAAATTTTTCTTCTTATGTGTTTGCTCACAGCATATAATATTTGGTGCTCTATTTCATTTGGGGTCTCTGGATGCTATTTGCTGCAAATAGTACACAGTAGTTTGTGGGGAGGGCCTGAGAGGGCAGAAATGAATATAAACAGACTGTCCTATTATCTTGGATTAAGCTTGGAGTAAAAGAAGTGCAGAACATACATATAAAAATGCATAACTGTTTTTAGGTGACCGTTAGACTCTCATCTTTAGCTTCACTGCCTGCCTATGGAGACCGCAACACCTCTACATTTCTTCTCCAACAAAGTCAGGAGCTTCAGCTCTCGGTGTGCTGATGCACGAGAAGTACCTGTTAGACAGTGGTGTCCTCTCCACACATCTGATCTGGATGGTGCTGAGCTCTTGTACACTGCCTGGGCGGCTGCCAGCGATGGCGGTGTTCGGGATGCGGTAAGTCTTTTTATGTCTTCGTGAGCAGCAAGTGCTGGTGACACCTTGTTGAGATGAAATGGAGGGGCTGTGGCTTGGAGGTCTGTTGACTGTAGAAACCTCCATACAGCTCTCTTCGTAGACTTGCTCATCCACAAACTCGTGGTTCTAGCCAGAGGAATCCAACAAAGGGACAAAGCACACACAGAGAGATAATTGAAGTGAAAATATTAATCATGATTGTTTAAAGGCTTAAACTGACACAACTGAATAAACTGGGAAAGTTAGACGGCTTATTCTTGATTATAGTGTTTAGCCCATATTAGCCTGGGCTCAATACCAATACAAATGTAAATGCTGGAACAAAACACTCAGAGCTCTAAACAAGAAAATGTTAATCCAAATTATTTTGCAAAATAGCATGTGATTGTAATGTAGTTTGCATTATAAATATCTGTATAATCTATGAAGAACCACAAAATAGAGATTATGTTTATTAATAAAATGCAAGTGATGCTTATGTAAACACTCTAAATGTCAGCTGGAAATAAATAAGATTTATTATATTGAACTATAATACAATAAAATTCATAAATATTTTCCAGATTAGTTTAGAAAGCTTCCTTTTGAATTACATGTTATAAATCAGGAGCTGAAACAACATGTTTTGAGGTATGCAACTGAAGAAAAACATTCAAACAAATAGAAGTTCTCATTAAAGGAGATGAGATGGTTACTTAAAAGCATCTAAAAAGCTCGTAATTACTATAGATGGATATATCAAAAGCAGTTTAGAGGACTGAGAATTTTAGTTAAATGAAGTCCTCTTTATTCATGCAATCTTTGCTTAATCCTAGTAGTTTTATAGAGTGGTCACAAAGATGAATCCAAAGTCACTCAAACAGCCAGTTTACATTGATTTGGCAGGTGCTTAGGGAGCATTTCACACCCAGACACAGTTTCCACGTTTTTGTGCAAAAGAGCATGAAATACTGGTGTTCCTTATGGCAGTGAGGGAGGGAGGGAAGAAAGTTTTATTCTCACTTAAAAGTAGAAATCCAAACTAAGTAGAGATTAAGATATGTTCACATGCAGTTTGAGAAACCCTCATTTTTAAAGAAAAATCTTTCCATTTTCCACTCTGTATCCTAAGAATGTTTTAGGGGAATGGTTTAGGGAGCATGTTGAGGATTGTCTTACACTCTACTTGGTCCCACATCAAATTTGTAAGCTTGCTGTGTTTTTCTGTATTAGAATGAGGTAAATTATTTTTCCCCTAAAAAAGGATGCACTAATTGGAAAGGTGCTGATGTTGTTCGGAATTGCCATACCGTGCCAATATAAAACATGTGAACAAAGTAAACAGAATAACAGCTGTGTCCAGGTGTTTGCAACAAATGGAAATACCTTTATTCGTATATTATTTTTATTTCAATTTCTTCTGTTCTTCTTCACTTAGACATAAGTTTGTGTGAACTAAGAGTTGTTGAGGAATGCAAATTTCAAGTGATAGAGAAAGAAAGAACTCGCTTGAAAAGCGACTTCTATAAGGCATGTGTCAGTCACAGGATTTTGAACATGATCACAACAGTAGACATAAAATTCAGAGAGAAAAATTAACCTAATTGCCATATTTAGATTACATTCAGGGGCTTGCAGTATGTTTGCCAAGAACACTGCAGTTTTTCTGATTAAAATAATTTTGTGCTTCCTAAAACTTTTATGGAGCAACCAACAGGAATTCAATTTGCAGGGACCATTAAAGTTTTATTGACTGAACTTTTAATATAGACTGGAAACATTTTGAAATGCTATAATGGCTCAAGTTAATAGATTTGATTATATTTATTAATTAACTGTTCTTAAATTAGCTAAAAGTAGCCTGTAAAATATAACTTTTAGTGCAATTAGTTTCATCATTAATGTAATTTTCACAGAATTCCATAACATTACCCACTCTGCATTTCTGAGAGTGGAGGAGATCTTATCCTATTGACTTTCCAATGAAAAGAGAAAATATGCCTTTTCTTAGTATCATCTGGACGATGCTTATACCATTATGGATGGTGAGAGTCCAAGAAGATATGTCACCCTTGCTGTTATACCACGAACCAGAAACTTGCCAGATTCCACATGCTGAGGGCCAAAAACGTCAAGTTCCAGTAAAATGTTAGGAATGCATGATCTGCAGAATATAACTTGGAACTGCTGCATACATTTTTGTGTTCATATGTCATATGAAATCAGTACCCATAGCAGGACCCAACAAAAGGAAAAAAGAAAGTAGATTATGTGCAAATGTAAGAAACAAGATAATACTTGCTTTGTAGACTTTTTTTTCTTTTTTTTTTTTTAAAGGAAAAAAAAGAAAAAAATAAGGAAAAAAAGATTTTACATATTCCGCCATTATGATTAGAGGAACCATGAAACTTTGGGAGCCGAATTCAGCTCCTACCAAATGATTAGCAATTTTTTTCCATGATTTCTGTAAGAGTTTGACAAGACTTATGGTTTTTAAATATGTTTGTAAAGTTCCACTGTGGAAAAATTTTAAAGGCAGATTGCTATTATCCAGTTCTAGTACAAAATGCCTCAAAAATGTTCCAAAAAGACTCGGCCTGAATCTTGGCAAAGAAACCACATTATATTATGAATAGGATGCAAGACATTTTGTCCTACAACACATTATGTAATAATGAATACTCCTAAAGAAAAGAGGAGGCATAAGCACCCGTGGAACGACATATTGCTATCTAAGTGATGTAACAACTGGGCCCTATTATTTAGAAAGAAATGCTCTCAAAAGGAAAACATTAGATTACACACATACATACATCTATCATGTCTCAATTTTAATAAAAATTTAACGTTGTCTGTTGTGGGAAAAATTTTTACTTGTTTGTTTGTTTGTTTTTTTGAGAAAGTACAGAAAGACTTTTATAGTAATCTCCATCAGCTATAGCAGAAGCGGTATTGACTCTTTTAACGAAAATCTAAAGCTAGACTATAAAGATTAGAAAAAATGGCAAATAAAATAGCACCAAGTTCCACTCTGTATACAAAGCTTAAAGAGGAATCATGTCATTTTCTATATGAAACTGGAACTTATAAAACTAGATACAAATTTGTAAATGGTGATTTCATGGATGTTGACCAATTTATCCTCAATACAAGATAAATTCTGCATGGCAATATAACACACACAAAAATACAAACATACAAGGAGATAATTTTAGCATACTCTGTGTGAAATTCTCAAATCTACAAATACTAAATTCAATATAAATATTTATGTTGTTATCTTTTATCATTATCCTTAAGAAATGACATAAAAGAGGAAACAGTGTAAAATTAAGAATGATTAGGGCTATTGCTGTGACCTTATCTTTCTAGAAATATACTATTAGTAAACATGGCACTTAGTTATTACTAAACTGTAATTCTGCTATAGTTTACTATCCTTTATGGTTTTAAAATTATGCAGGTATTGATCAGGTGAAAATATAGAGAGCACATAATAAGTAATTCTTCTGAGTTATAAGGACTTTCAAATCTAGAGGAGCATATTTGAGCCATGAGGAATTACATCAGTAACTTCTACAGGGATCTCAGCACCTAAATGGAAGCAAACACACTTGGAAGCTTTGCACCTGCATCTGGATTAAGCACTTGAATTTTCAAAATAGAATGCTGGGTGGTCCTCTTTTACAGTCACTGCAGTGAGAATAGTGTTCATGTCAGAGGACGCAGTCAGCTTATCTCCCTGCACAAAATTCCAACTGCTCAGGCAAAAACTTGCTTTGAGTGCACTGAGTATTGAATGTATAAGGACTACAAATTGTAGTTTATGAAGTGTATTGCAGAAAAGTGCAAATGAGAACATCATGAAGCATAAGAAAACCATACCAAAAGTCACATATACAGCTTGGCTAAACCGGTGCCATCTCACTGATGTCAGTATCTTTCACCCTGGATGAGGCTCTCATCCAGGATCTATTATTTATATGCAAAAAAAATAAGATAAAATAGCTTTTCTTTCCATCTGACTGCTTTAATATAAAGGCTTATTAATTAGAAGAGATAACTGAAAACATTCAAAAATATACTGGTGTTGGAATTCACAGGAAAACACAGTTCTCTCTTCTTACCGTAGTTTTTTCCAGGCAGTGAAGCAGGTGGTGGTGCTGTGTTTCAAAGGAAGAGCCAGCTTTGCCAACAAAGGCCTGTTCTTCTTCAGTGGAGGACTGTTGATACATAGAACTCCATATTATTCTCATTTTTGAACAAGAGGGCTCTTATTCAAATATTTGATCAGAACTAATCTGGATTGTACACGGTAGCATAACTGCAATGCTTTGTCTACACAGTATAACACAAAATATTTTGCATTTGAGTTTTCTTTTGCTTGTTTTTTAATCAAACTATTTTCTTCCCTTCCCTTGCACCTCCTGTTAAATATTTCCATCTAAGGTCTTTTAAACAGAGACGAAATAGTACAATTTACAAGTGCAATCAACATGTGAGCTTTGAATGCTGGATCAACACAGGCTTAAAATTATAATCAATTTAAGTGACAGTGAATTTTTTTTCCTGGGAATGTGTCTCATTTGAAGGAAATTAAACATAGCTGTCCTCCTGGGATCATTTCATAGCACTGAAGAATTTGTGGTATTTTTGCTTACACAAAAATTCATGTCAGTGATCTCAGTCTGCTGGGTTTGGAAAACTTATAGCAAATGTTATAGACAGAATAAAGTAGAAAGCATCCATTGTTTATTAATTGCTTTCATAATTATTCACTTGAAAGCAAAAAACTAGGGGAGGAAGCGGGATAATAGGAAAGATTACAATTCAGCTTTGGATATTTGAAATCTGCATGGTAATTAAGTTGTTTTGTGTCTTTTTAGTTCAAATACTTGAGTTCTTTCAAGAAGAGGAGGAAACGAGGGCTCTAACTGCTCATCTTTTGTGCTAAACAGAACAGACGGACAGACAGCCACTTCCTTCTTTTCTGGATACAGGTTAGAGCATCTGGGTGTTTAACACATGTTGAACAGAAAGGGCATAGAGGAATGAAAGCTTTCCCTCAGGGCATTGCCTAAATGCCAGAAAACAACATTAAAAAAACGCTGTGTCTTTTGTCTTTCTCATCTGGGTACGACTGACTGAGCAGCCAAGGGGCTGACTCCCAGCAGCGTAGGTCACTGTGGATCCCAGTCCCAGCTGCTGGTCCTGGCTTCCTTGGCAGGGGTAAGAGGGGATTTGCTTCAGGTAACATTAGATTTCAATGCATTTGAATAATCACCAAGATTCTTCTTAAACCAAAGTAGGTGCTTCGAGGGAACTCTTTTCACTCTGCAACATCCCTCTGTGCAAACAGTACCCAGGAGCTGCCTCTTTCCACACTGACAATGAAACCTGGCTTTGTCACCCATCTTCTTCCTGTTTAAAGCCAAGTGAGATAAATCAAACCTACCACTTAAGAGGCAAATGCTCTGTACTTTCTTAATGAGTTCTTCTACAGGATCTCTAAAAATGTGGTTTACATTGAATCCAGCATTTCTATCTGGACATTTCCCTCATCTCTTAATACCCCATCATTGACTCATAAGCTTCTTTTAACAATAGTAATTGTCCAATTTATCCTTCCTTAATCTACCTCTAAAGATAACCTTGCCGAAAGCCCCAAGGTGACTTGCCCTGGTGATAAGTAGAATAAGCTACTGCTGGGCTGTCATTAAGGTGTTCCTCCCGAGGTGGAGGAAACACAAACATTACCTGCTGCAGCTGGTTACTCAGCAAGCCATTTCGTTTGCTCTGCATGTAGGCGTTAGCACTCCCACTCTTTGCCGCACGAATTCGAGCAAGCCTGGCTTTCTGTGTAATAGATAAAAGAAAGAGTGTCACTTGTACTCATATCCATTATCCTGTTTATCTAAAACTGCTAATTGGAATCAGCTGCTTATGAATACCAATATCACAGCAACTGACAGACTGCATTGCATCCATCCTCCAGGTGGAGCAAATCACAAGCATCTTCCCATTTAAAATGCAAATGATTGAAGTTTTTATTTGTTTGCATGCATTAGCTAACAAGAACAATGATTTTGGAGAAGGGATTAGACGGATCAGCATGGAAGTGGCTCTCTTTTTTATTTTTTCATTGCTATAACTGTGCCACTCCTTACATCTTGTGGGGCAAAAACATGGACATCCATCTCAGCTGCTACTGCAATGAAAATCTCTTTGAAGGGGTGTAAGACCCCAAGTCTTGAGCTACAAGCTCACCAAAGGGGTTTTACTTTGAAAGTATACAAGGCTCCAACAAAATCCACCCTCCAGATTACTGGAATAGCCCTCAGTTCTTTTAACAATTTAAGAGAGACCACAAAGGAGAAAAGCTACACCCCTTTTCTCAGGGGGTACTTCTGCTGGTAAACTTTAGAAAATAAGTACACTTGACAAATATTTAAAGGGTAGCATACAACCAAAACAAAGCATTCCACAAAGCGTTGACTTAGAAAATCCTAACCCATACAATTTGTCAAAATCCAGCCCATCCAGTCCTAAGTTACCCAAAATATTAAGAAAGGACATTAGGAGAAAAAGTAAAGAAAGAGAGAGAAAAAGAGAAATATAGCTATTATGCCTAGATCCAGCATAGGTCCAGCTACAAGAGTATAGAAGATGGAGAATTCAAACATGTGATAACAGGTCCTAAGTTTTATCTGCTCTGGCCCTCTGTGGCCACCCCACTCAGGTGGCCACTCTGGGGCTCCATGGCAGGGTGAAGGGTGGTGGTCCCACTGTTTGAGCTAATCAGAGGCTGGGTTAGGGGTTCCAGTGGGCATGGTATGGACCGTGCTCCTAGGCTGCCTTTGACTGACGGCTGCTCCAGGGTTGCCCAGGGAGGAACCAAGGGGCTGGATTGGGACAGGGCATCACCTCACCTAAGTGAAATTTGACCTGTCCCCTCCCCCATCCCCTCTGCTGCTTGAGTTAGTTCCAGCCAATAATTAATGTATTAATCCAGTGTCTCACAAAGGTAATAAATGGTTCAGAATAAAACATAATATTGCAATTTTTGTGAATGGGTTTCTCAGAGTCTTCCGAGTTTTTGGAGTACCAGAACGTGGTAGTGCTTTTATCCTGTCTCCCAGGTAAGTTCCTGAATGCTTGCCAGGCTGTTTTAGAATCATAGAAGAGAATCATAGAAAGGCTTGGGTTGGGAGGGGCCTTTAAGATCATCTAGTTCCAACCCCTCACCATGGGCAGAGATGCCACTCACTAGGTCAGGTTGCTCAGGGCCCCATCCAGCCTGGCCTTGAACACATCCAGGGATCAGGCATGCACAGCTTCTCTGGGGAACCTGTTCCAGTGCTTCACCACCTTCCAAATAAAGAATTTCTTCCCAGCATCTAAACTCAGCCTTCCCTCTTTCAGTTTAAAACCATTGCATGTTGTCCTGTCACTATCTGCCCATATAAAAAGTCCCTCTCCCACCCTTTTATAAGAACCTTTTAGGTACTGGAAGGTTGTGATGAGGCTCCTTAGAGCCTTCTCCAGGCTGAACAACCCCAGCTCTCTTAGCCTATATTCATAGGAGAGGTGCTTCAGCCCTCTGATCATCTCTGTGGCCCTCTTGACCTGCTCTAACAGGTCCATGTCTCACTTGTGCTGAGGACCCCAGAGCAGGATGCAGTACTCCAGGTGGGGTCTCACAAGGGAAAGTGGGAGAATCCCCTCCCTTGATCTGCTGGCCACCCTGCTTTTGATGAAGTCCAGGACATGGTTGACTCTCTGGACTATGAGTGTACACTATTGGCTCATGTCCAGCTTTTCACCCATGAGAACCCCCAGGTCCTTCTCTGAAGGGCTGTTCTTAATGGCTTCTCCCAGTCTGTACTCATATCTGGGCTTGCCCTGACCCAGGTGCAAGCATCTTGCACTTGAATTTATTGATCTTCATAAAGTTCTCATGGGCCCATTTCTCAAGTTTGTCCAGGTCCCTCTGGATGGCATCCCTTCCTTCTTTTCTGTCAAGTGCACCGCTCAGCTTTGTGTCATCTGCAAACTTGCTGAGGGTCCACTTGATTATTGCCTGTGTCACTAATGAATATATTGAAGGGCACTAGTCCCAAGACAGAACCCTGGGACTGGGACACTTATCACTGGCTTCAACCTACCTCTTCATGTCTGTTGGTATAATCAGATTTAATACTTATTGTTACTGGTCATAGACTGTTCACAACCTGATTTTTCAGAGATTGCAAGTATTGAATTGCTGAGAGAAATGTGAGATTTCTCATGTGAGCCTTATTGCTTGTGAAGGTGACTTTAATTCCGGAGTACAAGGAGGTTCATGAGTGAAGGACATTTTGCATCCACTGATTTTGTACAACAGCTAGAACTCAGAATTAGGGGAAAGCATGAAGAATAGACTCTCTCAACTAATGATGTGGAAAACAGAAGCTTTTATGGAGTTTCTAGGATGATGTCCTGGTTCTGTAATTTTTTGTGGCTAGTTACATGTGTGAAAGGGAGTCTGAGTTTATCCTCAAGTTAGGTTTCTGATTCTGAAAGGCAAATGCCAAGCAGCATCTGGAGTTGAATGGCTGCTGAAACAGAAAAGGATATGCAGTGAAGAACTTAAAAACCTGACTTTGATATATTAATAGGGATTTTCATATCTAATACTTACTCAGTTGATATTTTCAAAAAATAGAGGGAGAATTTTCCTCCCTCCCCCAAATTTCTGTGACATTAAATGTCAGCATGAAATGACTTAGAATCCCTGAACTCTTACAGAGGGAAGCAGCCTGGTTACTGCAGCCACCAGATCTCTCTGGCACGATTAGTAATTAACTGACTACGAGGAATGGCTCAACACCACGCTTCTTTGCACTCAGCCTCAAACTCACAGATCTTCTGAACAGCCTGCCAAGAAATTCATAACAGCTAACAGCAAACATGGTTAGAATCTGGCTTACGTTATATGTCATGCATTTATTATCTTTTAATTGTTCTGAAAGAGAATAAGCTAATGCTCTGCATGCGTGCATCACTGAGCCAAAAAGCTCACGAGAGGCTGTTTCCTGATTTTGTGATACATTGGCCATTTTAGAATAACACATTGGTTTATCAACTTCCTTTGAGCACACAGCCTTTCCAGCAATGTAGTTAACGCATCTTAATCTAGTGGTAAGGAGAAGAGATGCCTGATGACCTGGCCTGGGGTCCCCAGGAGCAACCAGTGTGGGGAACTGTTCACAGCTCCCACCCTCCTGGCTTATGTGGGCTCTTTGGTGGCACATTCAAGGCTACCAGCAGGGTTAGGGCTCATTCCTCAGGACTAGCAATTAAAAATCCCCTTGGGCAGGCAGAAAATAGATTATTTTCTAGGGGGTGCTCCTGAGATGCAACTCCAGCATGCTGGGCTGAAGGTTGGGGGAAGAGCTTTACCTGCACCACTGAATAGTCATGGGTTGAGATATGTGCACTTGGTTATGTTCATAAATATATCAAAAGGTCTCTCTGTTTTGTCTTAGGAGCTTGAGACGCTTTGGAAATGTCTTTACAGTGTGCAGCTTGGAGTCCCATAAATAAGTGATTTCAGTCACAAATGTTTTAGCTGTGGTACTTTTCAGTCTGCTCTTTATACAGGGAGATTCATTAGATTTAATGAACAGACATTTTACATACATTAGTTGTGCTTTTCATTTTAACATGCATATTCATTTTCTTGGTGATTGAAGCAATAATTATGGTGCAGCACCATTTAATAAAGAAATATGAAAAACATAACAGTTCATCAGACCATCTTAATATATCAAAGTGCTACACATATATAATAGGAAGGCTGTGCTTTTGATGTGAAGATTTTAAATTGCTTTGCAAATATGAATTTATTGCATCTTAGAAAGCTTTTGTGAGCTAGAAAGTAATAGCTTACATCTTTCTAGCTGAGACTCATTGAGATGGCCTGAATTTACATCATTTACCAAAGAGAAGATAGTAAATCTATTACCAAGACAGGAACCAGATATTGTGGCTTCCATGTTTATACTTCAGCTTACAGAAAATAGTCCTGAAACTGGAGGTGTTTACAAATCTGTTAAAGTGATAAGACTTATTTTCAGTGCATCTGATTTCAGTGCTGCCTGATTTATATAAGAGCCTGTAGTGTGAGCAGTCTAGTGACTTCTCACATTTGCTATCAAGGAATCATTAAAAGCTCATGTCATGCACAGGATTTTAAGGGCTGTGTGCTGGGGATTGAATTCCCATGAAAGGCAGCAAAATGACATGATGACATCAGTAAAACTGTGATTACAGAAGACCTGCATTTTCCTTTAGTCTGCATTTTCTGCCATGTGTAACAGAAAGGGAGTGACAACTGCCCCTTTGAACCACTACAAAGCCCTTCCTAACCCTCCTCTTTCATGGAATATCTAGCAAAATAAAGAAAAGATTAAGTTCTCTCACAGTAGATGATATCTTTGCTATGAGGTTTTCCCTGTTAGCCACCAAATATGAAACTTTGGTTATTTTTACATGGTCTAAGGCTAAACCAATGTAGCTGAAATATAGTTCTTTTACATATTCTGATGAAATTCCACCATAATCATCTCATCTGCAATTTCCTAAAGAAATTGATGACCAGCTCTAATTCTTACCACATCCTTTGAATTTGCACTGAGCTTCTCTTTTGAATGCACTTCTTTCTTTTTTCAAGCTTCAAATTTTACAACTTAGAGGTGGATTCTTGTCTGTGGCTGCGTTTATAGAAATCTCACAAAGGGAATTCACTGTTAACTCTGTCAATTTTAGAAATATAAGTTTATTTTCACAAGGTTTTAAGTAGTGCTCAGTGTAAC